ACCGAACATTTGGTTGCTGGCTTTAGATTCTGAATCGATCATCACCAGACCAGATATTTGGCATGCAGACTTAGTTGGTGTTGGGGACATTCCAGCTTCCGTGAACCGACCCACCAATGAAGACCGGAATGTAGAAGAGGGTCGGGATGACTTTAATAAGAAGTGCAAAATTGTCACATCTCTTTGTATTCCTTGATCAGTGTCATGGAAGACCTTTCAGAGACCCCCTTTGGTAGACAATTGGATACGAAGGTTGATAAAGTGGATAAAGTGCCACTGGAATCTTAACAGGGATTGTGGATGTTGATGCTGTTTTTGTTGATTTAAGAAAGGCGTTTGATAAAATGACCATCTTGGGATAGGTGAGGAATGTTTGGAGGTGTTGGTAACAGAATGCGAAATGCAAGAGACTTTTTGCATGATGGTGGATAAAGGGCCAGAGTGAATGGAGCATTATTTAGGTGGAGACCAGTTACTAGTGGAGTTCCCTGGAGCACCCTGGCAGGACGTCTTTTGCTTCTGCTGCATCATGATGAATTATCAGGCATTCTGAAGTCATCATCCCTGCTACTTGTGGAGGAAGTTAGAGCTTGAGGGGTTGTTTACGAGGATGGCGCTCGGATATGACTTGGATGAGTTGACTCAATAACGTGGACGCATGAGGCTGCGAATCAACTTTCGGTGAAGTGCGGTAATGCACGCAGGTCAAAATTCTTACTAATACTAAGAAGGTGGGTTATTGGTGACTTGAGTTATGGGGCAAAAAGGTCTATAAGTTGATACCAGCCACAAAATGAAGATAATGGCAGTCCATAACACAGCTGCAGCAAAAGCGTTATGCACGCCGTGGTCACTCCTTTTGGCTTAGGAACACCTTAATGACAAATGATCAGAGCATTAAATCCTGCTTAATTAGGACCCCACATTGAATGCAGCGCATAGGCAGCTATTTCTTGCTCCAAGCAAGAAGCAGACATCCTGGAAGGGGCCCAATGGTGGGTACCAAGTGGCAGATTTTTCGAACCCCTCGCACAAAAAGCGACTGGAGAATCTGGACGTTTTCCCATCATCAGGTGGGGGGAAAAGCGGATATTTTATGCTAGCATATTGCATCCCGAATGACTATCTTGGCATTGATCTATTTGGTCGTTTCGTTCCTTCTCTGAAAGACTATTTAAAAGATGATCACAAAGCGGTTTGCGAGCCTCAGTCGAATAAACTGCTCACGGAACTGGGGTTCGGTCACAGGTTGAGCAACAGTTGTAACCAGCTACCGGAGATTTTGTTTGAGGCCCTTTCGGTGAACGCTTTTGAGAGAAGCCAGATCTTCACAGAGACTAATGAGGCCTGGATTGACACATGATTGACCACCTGTCCTGTGGGTTGAAGGCTGATTGCTTCTTGTAGTTATTCGCTTTCTCCGCTTGTCCATCAGGCATAAAAACTTCCTTCATCCAAAACCCAAAATTCAGAATCAGTGGAGTGTGTGGTGTAAAGTTGTGGTTCTTGAAGTCTGCCATGTAGGTCATGATGCTCGGTTCTTTTCGTTTGGCTGTGCTCTCTCGGTGGCTGTAGAAGCCTTCATGTTTTTCTTGGGGTTGTAGTCTGGTTTGTATGAGAGGGCAACGGAGCTGGTGATGGGATAAATTAGCCTGTTGCAATTCCCATTTTTGTGGGCACCTGGAGGTAAGTGATGAGCGTAATTTGAAAGTAGAGCGAGGAATGGGAGGAGTGGAGAATGTGGAGAGAGGGATGAAAAGTGATAGTGGAAAGACGAGTGTTACTGGCAGTAATATGGAGATGGACGGGTCTTTATGCAGATGCCAGGGTTAGGGAGTACATAGATGGATGGACATACCATGAATGACCACCGGTGAATGGCCATAGTTACCTATTTTCTCTCAAGTACTCATCCACCAGTCGTTTGAAGGAGCCAACTGATTTAGCTGTGGCTGCTTCTTCTGAGAGTGTTCCATAGGACATGCACTGTGTGTGAGAAGAGGTTTGATCTCACCCTCGTCTTTCCCCTATGGTGGGGTATGTGAGCGGGTTTCTTGTGGAACTGTCGGTTTGAGGCTGGTGGTGTCCACCTACCTGGGCGGTCTACCTAGTGAATGATACTTTCGGCTGTTGTGAGGTTACCTCTTTTACTTTGACAGGCCAATGTGAATAGTTTGAGTTGTCTGAGGCCTTGAGCATGTGTTTGCTTGTTAGTCCAATGACAGGCTTTGTCTCCATTCTCTGGATCTTCTCGAGGATACTCGCGTCTCTCTTTGGTAGATAGGGTTTATCGTGTTGAATACAACTAGGAGTGGTCTAATATGAGTTTTAGTGCCATGTGAAATGATCCCGGAGTCGGTGCTCTTAGCTGCCTCCTTAGGAAGTGTGTGATGGAGTTTGCCCATGCATCCACTCCCACATAGTTTGTACTGGCATTCAGGATGTCCGGGAAGTTTGGTCCTGGATCCTTCTCTGTAGATACCCTGGTGATTGTGCACTTGTTGGGGTGCAGCTGGTTTTCATCGCCTCTGTGATATACATGTAATGGTTATTATTCAGGTGCTAACTATGATTTTCGCAGCTAGCTGCCTCCTGCCTCCCTCCCTCGATCAAAGAGAAGCAGCACACCGATGCTTGTATGCAGGGTCTACGTTACTGTTTTCGTCCCTGCCTATGCGAGTATCAGGAATCTTATGCCAAACTGTTAGTTTCCCTTAGCATTTAACGATGGCTCAATTAATTAAACAATTGACCTCTTGGAATCTTTTGATGCCCCCTTCACAATTCCCCCATGTTCACAAGCTGTGATTGCCTACAAGTTGACTGAACTCAGCTGCTAGATTTACTGATACGGTTATCGATCAGAAACTTTAGGTAAATCCCCAAAACTCATACCGATTCATGGTGAAGAGAAAATCTGAAATCCAAGGAACATGCATCACTGAAGGTCTGGACGGAGAACTCCTCACTGGACAAAAGATCAAAGTGTTAAGTTCACTTTTGACACATATCTGAATATCCCTTGACACAGCACGCATACCTGCAGAACGAACAGCCCTCGACGTTATTCGGTGCAGCAGAGTTACGTGAACTACGGATAACTCGAGGGGTTGTTCTTGATAAGCTATCAAAGCTAAGTATGAGGAAGTCTTCAGCGCGATGACATTCGCCCATCTGTGCTGCAACAACGTAGGAGTTCCCCAGGTGGCTCACTCTACAAACGTTTGCAATACTCCTCAGATGAATAGACGCTCCCGCGGCGATGGAAATGCTCCATCCTGTCTCCTATCTTCAGAGGAGTGGACAGCCAGAGCTTGAACTGTTACCCACTCATAACACTTTCACGAGAAACACAAAAGGTTGTGGAAAAGGTGATGGACAATTGCATCAGGGAATACTTGAACGCGAAGCGAGAACTTGGTGACGCCCAACACGGCTTCCGAAAGGGTGGGTCCCATGCCTCCAACCTCTTAACAGCTCATGACCGCTGGAAGGCACGCAGAGACCTGAAGATCCCGGTCCACCCAACTTTTCTGGATCTCGTCAAAGCCTTTACCATGGTCTCACACACCATCCCAATGCGCCGAGTAGCTGGATAGGGTACCCGTGGCTAGGTGCTATTGTGGCTGCAAAACTACTTAGACGGTGGGGGGTTCTGCACGAAAGTCCCAGGGTCTATTCAACACGGAGAACATCACCGTCTGGTGTATCATTGGGAGGAATTCCGGCGCCGTTGCCGTTCCTACTGTTCACGAACGACCCCCTGCTGCAAATCAGCTGTCCAGTTTTCCTTCATCCTGACGAAGTCAAGTTATGAGGAGTGGTAACGCGAGAAAAGGAATCGAATACACTGCAGGACGACTTCGAAACACTCGGGGAGTGAGCGGAAGATACTAGATTGGCACTTAATCTGGATGAGTGCATGTTCATGTTTTTCCGCATTCGTGGTCCACAGAAAGTGTTCTACTCTCTCTATGGTTCTTTCGAATACCGCAGCCGAGAAAGACCCGGGTTTAGTGTTGATAGGGAAGCTGAACACTGGTTCCAGTCACCCAGGAGATACCTCAGAAGCATTTGGTGTGCTACACTTTGTGTGCAGACAACTAGGTGCCCTCACGCATGAGCTCCTCCTGAAGCTCTACAAGAACCACACACGACCCCACTTGGAGGTCCATAAAGTCTTTGCTGCACAATGCCCGAAAAGAGGCACGAACCTCCTGGATAAAGTTCGGGGGCTAGCCATAAAGGGTGTTGTGAGGATGCACCAAAAGCTCTACAAGGACAGACTAAAAGGCCTAGGCCTCTACTCTCTCAGTTACCGATGATTATGAGGTGATTCGACAGTGGCCTACAAAAGGCCAAATAAACCGGGTTACTCGAATAGAGGAATACCACCGAGTGACCACCAAGGCGATGCTCATGGAAACTCGAGGAGGCTTTCTCACCTAAGGTCAAAATTAAGCGTGCGTTCACACTTCTCCCTCCTAGTCTGCGGGCGCTCAAACGCACTACCAGCAAAGGTGGTCTTCGCCCCATCTATCTGTGGTTTCAAGAGAAGGCAGAACAGTCATGCAGTGACTCGCGATTTACGCTCATCTGGTTGGAACACAAACTGGATCGATGAAATAAACTGTTGTCATACCGTTCCAACGCTGCTATCTCTGCCCCAATTGTCTTCCTACTCCGAACATTTAAGCCCCCTTAATCCCGCCTACTCGCTCTGAATTAACCCTACTCACCCCCGCGCGTGCATTCGCTTCGGGCGCAGACAGGGGAGATGAGCGGTACTCCTTGAAACTCCTGAACATTTTTCCTGAAACAGTCAAAAGTTCCTGAGTGTGCCCAAGTTGTATGCAACGCTCCCACAGTTCACAAAGTGTAGGCAGTGTGCCATAAGTTTTGAAATAACTCATGTTCAAAGTCTTAAGGAGCCATATTCGTCAATGTTGTTGCAGTGTATATGGTTTATGTTCCATTGCTGCATGTATGCTATATATGTATTACAAATCAATGGAATGGAAACGCCTAGTGGGGGATAAGAGAACAATTTATGGCACACTCGAAATTTGGCAAGTGCGCGCGAATTTGCCTAGAACCAAAACACGGAAATTCCAGAGTGTGTCCGAAGTAACTGCCGGCTCTGAAGACCTAGAAGCGAACACGAGGCAATCGACTGATTTACACAGGATCATTAAACAGACGTTGGATACTGAACATTCCGGTGCTGCTTTCTCAGTGCTGATTGTTATACACATGCGTTTATACAGTGATGAAAATAAAACTGAAGATTGACAGGGTTAGAAAGTGGCACTTTGGCTTTTTTGATGGCTATATCGTACTTAATAATTAGGAAAACAAGAGTTAGCGCTTTATCTTACTCGCGCTAAGTTTGGTATTGGATTTTGCAGGTTAGAATAGCTTTAGGCTACTGACACCATGTTTTATTTCGCAGTTTTTCTTTGCGGCATATTGCCACGCGTTACCCCTCGATTCGCTTCGTGATTAAAATATTGCCCTGCTTTTCTTTGCGAAAATGTTGACTTTGTGCTTACGCAGTATGCATATGCATATGGATAAATACCCATACCAGTCAAGATTTTATATTCATAGTTTCACATATGCATATGTTTATATATATGCGCGATGTGTTATCTTTTTCTTGAAAATTAGTATCAAGTCATGTCACATCTTACATTTCGCATCATGCACGGTGCTGATGAGGACATGATGTCTTATGTATGTCAGAAGTGTTTTCGTCTGTGGCAGTACTTCTATTCTCATAGTAGTCATGCCCTGTTTACTTAATGTAAGCCTGTTTGTTACCATTGTATACCTTCAGATTTTCTTAGTGATGATTTCTTTGTTGAAAAAGGTCTAAAGTTTTTGCGAGTCCCTGAAATGATTAAGAGATTAGTATTCTTCAGTTAGCGATAAAAATATTAGGCTTTTAATCTGTGTTCATCCTTGCAGTATCTGCTTTTATGAGCTTCTGGTTTTTCTCTGAATGTGGTCAGCGAAGTAGCTGCTGCCACTTGTTTAGGTAACATGTTCCAGTTAATGATGGCTTTATGACAACCTGTACTATGTGTTTTGATCAAGTGGTGTATTTTTTTGATTGCATATTAGGTGATCAGCCCGAGAAGGAGTAATGGAGTTGAGTGAGTCAATACCTAAGTCGTTTAAGATGAGAAGGGGTAAAGTTAAACCACGTCTTTTCCCACAATTATATGAGAAAAGGGTTTAGCCTTGCTAATCGCTCTCTGTATGTATGGTGGGGAAGAGGTGTTATTCATTTGGTGCCAGCCCATTGGGCCTTTTCTGATGTAAAATCATGATCTGTTCTCCTGGCCACAATAATCTAAATGAGCTCTTACATTCGTGGGTTATAGGATCTCAAACATATGAAAGTATTTTGATGCTTTAAGCGACCAAATCATGCAAAGCACTTTACTTGCAGTTCGCAGTCGTCCCTAAGTCTTTACCTAACCCCTAAATCTTTTGGTTCCAAAACCCATTCTATTGCATGACCATTCATGGGGTATCTACTATTATAGTCACACAATATGCACTACTCCAGTTTCGTTGGAATTTGTTTTCAGACTGTATCTGTTAAACCATCCAACCGGTTTATCAAAGTTAGCTCGGAGTGAAAACCTATCACCGTCATTATAAATGATCCTCCACATACTGACACCAGGAAATAGCAGTTACGACTCAGTCATCTTTAGTATTTCATCAACATGAAGAAAGTGAAGTGGTTCAAGGATATTGCCCTGAAGAACATCACTGGTGGCAATTTTCCAGAGACAGCATTGTATTTACTCCTGCTCTTTGTCTTCTCTTGTGTACATATCTCCTAATCCAGACTTTAACCCTTGTTATCAATGTCCAGTTTGTGAGACTTCTTCATCAACCCTATGTGACACTTTGTCAGAAGCTTTACTAAGATCAATAAATGCCACGCCCAGAATGAGTTTATTACCCATAGCCTTGACCCAATCCTCCCTCATCAGGAGCAAGTCTCTTGAACAAAGATGACTAACCTGAAAACCTTGTTGCTCCTCTCAGTAGATCACTTATTGTCTTCTTCACTATATTAACCATGATACTTGTAGGACCAACAGGCCAGCAATTAGTAACCAATTATCTATCACCTCCCCCTAAACACAGACATTATCATCACTTGCTTCGAATCCGTAGGGTGCTGAGCCTGGGATAGGAATATGCTAAATATTACACTTAGTGGTGGATGAACAATTTCAGCGAAGAGCAGTAAAATCCTAGGGTGTAGTTTATTTGGTTCCGGTGTCTTTCAAGGCTTTAGGTTTCTAAGCAGTCGAAAGACTATCGCCTAGGTTCTATTAGACGAACGTTAGGAACAGTATAAAAATCCAGAATTGTCTACAGAAAACACTAGGATAGGGTGGTTAGATAAACTATCTGCTTTATCTGGGATCGATCCCACTGCATCTTTCGCTTTGCCCATATGGTATCAAAACAGGAATCCACTCAGTTTCTTTCAATATGAGAGAACAGATGTTTTGAACACATCAAACATTTACCCTCCAGAGAGTAGATCAGTCACTATGAAGTCAGACGTACCTAGGGTTATGTCCATTAGTGCTTCTATGATGAAGCTAAATAGGAACGCCTCTCGTCATATGATTTTACAGATATAGGTCTTATGACAAGGAGTCCCGGGAGATCTAGATTACACAGATGACGTAGTCCTGTTAGGTGAAGACGCTGACACCATGTAGGGTCTTCTGGACACCTTGAGTGGCGATTCGAGAATGTTTAGGATGTTTACCCCATCTCTCAAATGTAAGTTGTCGCTCGAGGACTGATCTTCAGCGGTGCCCTGGCTAGTAATAGAGAGTGAAGTGGTTGGGCACACTGACCACTTCACTCACCTAATAAGTTGGATTAACCCTGATGGGTCATTGGCCGACAAAATCCCTGCGTGTATACAGAAGGCTCGATTGGTTTTCGCCAACTTACGCCATTTATGGCGCCGCCGCAGTAACCGATTGCCTATTAAGGGTTAGGTGTACTGTGCTGCGGTTCACTCTTTCCTACTGTATGGCTATGAAAGTTGAGCATTGAAGGTAGAGGAGATGAGGCTTCTGGTGTTTGTCCACTGTCCCCTTAGTAGCATATGCTGTGTCGTGGCATCACCTAGTCAGTAATGCAAAAGTTACACGTTGAGTTGTAGGGAGGAGAGGGGAGTCACTTGATAAAGTCGTGAACCTTCATCTATTAAGGTGGCTTTGACATGTACTGAGCATGCCGAGACGCCACCTACCATGATGTGCAATGCCAGGTGAAGTTGGATTAGGTTGAAAGAGGGTTCATCAGAGTGGCCAGATCAGGACGTGGTACCAGTCTACGAAGTCCTCGACTGTTGGTCGGAACCATGTACAGAGGTCTAGACTACCTGCTTTGGGTCACTGAGACGATAGGAATCAGTGGTTGAGGACTCTTGGTGAAATGGCTTGAAAATCTGTCATAATGGCGCAGATGTATTCACCCTGACATTTTCTAAAGCCTGAATATTTGCAGTAATCTTTATCTTCATACTACTGTTTCTAACTTGTTATTAGTCTTTGTCTATCCACTTTTTACTTGTATAATACTGTGAAGTGTGGCAACTCGACTAATGCACTAGTGTGCGAGGTTTTACGTTGATTCCCTCTGTTTGTGTGTCATGACAAGAGGGATAGTTCCATAAGGACATCCTATGACAAAATTGAATAAGAATGAAGATAGAGGATATTCTTGACAGACATCACTCGACGTACATAACTCACTGTAGTCTATAACATGCTCACAGGTGTTCGAGTACAGTTCCTCAACAGAGTGGTGTGCTTACTCGTTATCTGTAGATGGGATCGTAACAGTGGCGACGGGGATGAGATGAAAAATGCACTCTTCGAAGTTGGACAAATTTCTCGAAAAACAGGTGAAGATTATCGAGTTACTAACTCAGTCCAGAATTTCTACACCTGAATCATTGAATCCTATACCTGCTATATCAGCCCCTTCAGTCGACGGAATTGCAACCAGTACCACAGAATTTCATTATGATCCTAATGCTAACGAGACTTTCGATACCTGGTTCCGAAGTTGTGAAGACCACTTCAGAGTTGATTTTGCTGGTCAAGATGATTCATGGAAAGTTCGTCTCCCCCTTCGAAAACCTGGTCCATCCGAATTAGATCAGTATTGCAATATAATACTGTCACAGAACCCAAGAGACCGCTCCTTCGATGCCATAATACAGACCCTAAGACAACATTTTGGTGATCATTCGTCTCTTTTCAATGACAGATATTGTTGTCTTAAACTGGTCATGAACGAGAACGATGATTTTCTCACCCATGTTGATGTTTTCAATCGTGAATGCGAAAAATTCAAGCTGAAGTTCATCACCGATGGCCAACTCAAGTCTTTGGTACTCATTTGCAGCCTTCAATCGCCCAGGTTCTCGGATATCAGAATGAGACTGCCAAATCGGTTGGAGCAGGAACCAACACTGACGTTGAATGATATTGCTGCTGAGTATCAACGACTGGTGAACCTACAACGGGATACAAGTTAGTCCAATCCGGACGCCATGGTGATCATGAAGTGCATACGGTTCGCCAGACATCTAATTTCTCTGCACCCTTTTCTGGTCGAAAGACAGGAGACTCCTGGTTCTTCGTCTCCGTTTCGTCATCCCTACAGCTCATACAATACCAAAAGAAACACGAAGAAGACCCCTCCATCCTCCTGCTGGCATTGTGGCATATGGCATTTCGTTAAATCTTGTCCTTATAAGCAGAATAAATGCAGAGAGTGTAATATGGTGGGTCATAAGGACAGATTTTGCAAGCAGCACTCATCACAGAGAACGGGTAGGTCACCACCCAGTCACCGTCGAAGATCGAAATCTCGACCAGTCAGCAAATCTCTTAGTCTTACTGCTGTTTTTCAAGTAAGTGCACCAGCATGGAGAAAATATATCACCGTTCAGATATATAACCATTCAGTACGACTACAAATCGACACAGCTTTCGATATAACGATTATTTCGAAGAAGCTGTGGTGGGAGATTGGTCGACCTCCTATCCAGAAGACTGTATAAACTGCTATTAGCGCATGCGGTGGCCGATTACCATTAACAGGTCAGTTATCATGTACTGTATCTTTTTACGACACTTCGATGAATGGAATCTATCTGACGCGGAGTTAAACCTCCTCGGTCTCGATTGGTTTGAAAACTTTGCTCTCGGATGTGCCTTCACGTGCCGT